GAAATGTGGGAAACCTCCAAAAAAAAAAAATTACAAATATAAAATTCGCTAATTTTCGACATTTTATCGATTTTTTTTACTTCAAAATGCCATAAAATTTTTTTTTCAAATATGAACTAATCAATATGATTTTTTTTTTGTAGATGATAGATGAACTTTTTTAAAGTCAATATAAAATCCGAAATGTTTTTTTTCCATAAAAAGTATATTACATTAGCTTTAATTTAAGATATAGATAAAAGTGTCAGACTTTCCGGAATACTTTCAAAAGTTAAGTTGAAAAAGTTCTACTTTCTTTAAGCATTTTTCAGATTTGAACCCCCCGGTATATAGAGAAATGATCTGATTAAGAAAAAAAAATTACCTTCTCAGCTTCGCATCGAAGCTAAAATCAGTAATTTTTATCGTTTTTTATTAAAACTGTCATAATTATTTAAAAGTTATCAAATTTACATAATGTTTTTTATAGATACCTTATATTTACCTTTCATTTAATGTATTTTTTGTGTAAAACTGACTCTTCACTTGACCACATTGGATATTAAAAATACATTTAAAGTTAACATTTAAAAAAGTTCTAGAAATACTATGTCCTTTAAACATATGTTAAAATAAAGCTTACATTATGTACTAAAAGTTAAAAAAAAATTTGTCCCGGTGACCTATCTTCTATATGCTAATGACAGTCAAAAATGAACAAAAAATATGAGTTAATTTTGATTTTTAGAATAATCCACCAATTTCATAAATTTAACACTATCTACAGATTTGCAACGAAGCGTTTCTTTTGATAGTGATTTTAATCACTATCAGATATTATCTATACTTGTCCCAAATATATCACGACCTCGTTTTTTTTTATAAATTAATAGGATGATGATTAAAACTATTATATTTTAATTATTTTTCTAACACTTAGATACTTTGTTACACTATTTTCCGTGTTTTTACCTAATCATAAATTTTTCAAACTCGCTCCGTATATTCTTTATACATAATTTGGCAAAATTTTTATGTTAACTAGATGAAGAAATTCTTACTAAAGACATTAGTGGGCATATTGTGTTACTAAATGTCAAAACTAATAATAAATCAATTTTAGCATACAATACAATGCAGGTAAAGTTATATATTTTTAATTTTCACAATAGAATACTAATTAAAACATTGTATTTTTATTTTTTAGAATGTCCGATTTTGTTATGATTATAATTTATCAGCTGACAAAAAATACCTTTTGGTAGCTTACAACTATACAAAAGTAATAAAAGCTGTACATACATATTTTAATAAAATTAACATTTATTGACTTATTTTATCGTAGATTTTTAAATATTCATATACAGCGTTCTACGATGTGATTAACATAAAAAATGGGTAAATTATAAAAATATATATATATATTTAAAATATTTTAAGCATATAATATTTTAAATATTGCCATTTA